ATCTGAACTGGGCCACATTTTCAAAACATCTGTTTCCTATCTTTATGTCATGATTTTGCCCTGCAATTTGGCCTCATTTTCTTTGTTTTAATTATTTTTACTTTGTGTTTAGTCCGTGCAATTATATTTTACTTTACTTTTTCTTTCATTTTTATCCATTTCTTCATTCCACGCTTCTTGGCTTCTTTCCTTTGAACATATTTCCCTTTTAGTTTTATTCTCTTAATTAACCCTCTTCGCACGGAAAAGAAGAGAACTACATTTAAAACGTTACTTACAGAGCCTGAAGAAGAAAGACCAACAGCAAGACCTACGCGTAGATGGGAGTATACTATTAAAATGAATGTTAAAGAAGAAGAAGAAGAAGAAGAAGGACTACTCTTGTGATCAAGATAATGAATCATATCTTCCAACCTCGGCTTCTGTTTCTATACATGGTCGTTCTGACCAGAATGAGCAGCGGTTTTCATGGAGTCCAGTAACTGATGCAAGGATTGTGGACTGTATAAATGTTATAACAGGGCCTCACCGTCCCTCCCTAAATGCAGTTGCAAACACTGTCCCGCTGCGCAGAGTCCATGTCTGAAAACACTGCGTGTACAGGACTACACCGTGTCATCTGGCACGACAGTGAACAACTCAAATTCCGCGTGTTTGTGATTTGTTCTGTGGCGACATGACTGTACGTCAACCCCATAATGGTTGTGATGGTGTGAAACATACAGTGCAGTCCCAGAGAGACGTGATTACCGACGCCGAGCGTCCCTTCGAGAGGTCTCGGTGGCTTCGAACAGCGTCAACCAAAAGAAACCACTTTACGGTACACAAGACATGAGCTCTTCAACCCGTTGTATGACGCAGGCTGCAGAAGTAAGGGGTTGAAGTCCCTCGCCTTCTCTGCAGAATTTGTTATTCTTGAATCCTGATCCAGAGCAGATCTGTGTTCGGGTGGTGCTCGGTTCGAATACCGGTCGGGATACCGTATATCCTGACTGAGATGTTTCTTGGTTTTTCTAAGTCCCTCCAGACAAATGCCAGGTTAGTACCCCGATTAGGCTACGACCACTTCCTTCCAAGTCGTTTCTGGTTCATCATTCATCATATTCGATGCTGTACAGTGTAAATAGCGCTGTAAAATAATGTCACGTGTGTGTGTGTGTGTGACTATAGACTGTGTTTGGATTGGTGAATGGTTTTATTGATCATTTACACGGGTCGTAACTATAAATAACTGTAACGCTATAGCCGATTTCCACATTTTAAAAACCGCTGCTGCAAACACTAAGTCTTTTCCAGCCTGCAGTGTCTTCTTTAGACGTTTCCTGGTAACGGATGTTAACACTGAATATTGCTTTGCTTCCGTAATCAAGTTCCGTAGAGAACTGCCAACTATCAACTTAAATCGGTTGTCCCAACTCTTATTTTTTATAACTCCTCGGCACTGACCGCGTAGACAACACCCCGTTTCTCCCGTTGAATGTGTAACCGATCCGTTGCCCAGAAACGGGTCTGATATAACCGCCCATCTCACGATCGTTGCATAACAACGGTAACCCCGCTACAATAAAGGACACGAAAAATACATACCTCTAACAACAAAATCCTCAATGGCAGTAGTCGGCGCCCTGGCCGGGATTCGAACCGAACACCTCAATACAAGCGAGAAGCGTTGTCGCCCGGCCAACTTGCTATGTATTCAAATTTATGAACTTGAAGGTCTCACGGCGATGTCTACTGAGAATACTGTCTTCTGGATTGTAACGGCATGTATTCCCATGAGACCATGAAGACGGAGGCAGTATGTTCCTCCGAAACTTCTATCTGGCGTGCGAACTACACGGCGTTACAACCCAGATGTACGTACGCTTCAGTATATATGCTTGTAAAATATGATATACTCCGTCTGCTGTGGGAACGAGTGTACGTCATCCCCAGTTAATGACGTAGACTCTTAGACTCTTACGTCATTTATTCATTCATCAATTTCTGTACAGCCCTTTGTTGGGCCCTGGCCTCTTCTTCAATTTCGTAAACTTTTTTACACGGACGGTAGGACTTCTTGGAAGAGAGATCAGCCCGTTGCAAGGCCGCTACCTAAACACAGGACAGCACAAACACGGAATAAACGCACACAGATATCAGTGCCTTGAGTAGGATTCGAATCTACGATTCCAGCGTTCAAGCGAGCAAAGACAGTTCTTGCGCGGCCACTGTGATCGGCCTTATGTCCTCATTAGAAACTTAGATTTCCGCATTCATACGTCGGTGGGAAATTTAGACATGCAGAGGACTTTTGTTTCGTAAGGTTGCCTACACAGGGTATGAAGTAGAGCAGAAGAACTTTATTTGAAGTTGAGGGAATGTTGCAAGCATAAGCAGAACATATTATTATTTTCACAATAAGCTCGTGTACGACTGAAACGAAATGAACAACGTGGACACGCGAGTATGACGCCAACTGACAGCGTTACATGTGTCACTGATGCAGTGGAAGGAAATGCTCTTCTGGAAGTCATTTCGTTCGAACACGCAACTTTATTGAGTTCTGGTCATGTACGACGCAATTAAGAGCTTCTTTCTTCAGAATGTAATCCCCCGTAATTACATAATGGCATAGGATTTATACCTCCACCATGTGCGCCATTTTGTTTAATGGCGGCCCCAGCTGTGTGAGCAATGTCCTGACTCTTCGGTTTTCAGTAAGTGTCACTTTAACTGGGCTGCGACATACGTGACAGTCCGTAACTAGTAGATTTATCTGCTGACATGCGATGTGCACATGCGCAGGATGTGTTGCACGGCCTGGGATCTGGGTAGTGCGTGGGGAGAGGTTTGGCAGGGAATAGCGGGTAAGTGGTTGCAGCGGCATTGTGGAGAGGAAAGGTGATGCATTGTAACTGAGGCCCTGTTGTAATTTGCTGCATGTAAAGGCCGTATTTTGGACATGGCATGTGGGTAGTGCGGTAAAGTATGGCAGTAAGCTGTGGGACAGTAGTTGCAGCTGTGTTATGGGAGGGAGGGTGACGCACTGTAACTAAGGCCCTGTTATGTGCTACATGCAAAGGTGTTTTTAGACCTGGTCTGTGGGTAGTACATGAGAAATATGCCAATGCTTAGCGGGGCAGTGGCTGCAGCTGAATCGTGATAGGGATGGGTACACTACAACTAAAGGCACTCTTATAACACATGCACATCATACAACCTTTATGAATGAATGCAATGATGCAGCTATATATTTGAAAAAAAAAATCATATCTCACTTGATAAATCTTGACGCATCTTCATGATTTTCCTCAGAATACTAAGCAAATTATGTGATTTCACCTTAAAATAGGCCACAGCTGATTTACTGCTTTCATTATACGCCTATAATATACTTAATTCGCACAGGGTAAGTAATTGTTGGGGACATAGTGGTAACTATATTTACCACGTGCTTTGACATTAGTTTCTGAATTTTTCCCACAGAATGTATGTGTGTCACGTGATTCTCACGACAAAACCCATTACAGTATTTCCCTGTAACATTACCTGATCGTTCCTTATAATTGAGACGTAATGTGTTTCCTGTGAGGTAGGAACTGAATTCTTATATATTATTTTAATGAGCTTCAGTATATCCATCGAACACAACGATCCTGCTTAGCCTGTTTCTTCTGCCAGTAGCCTAAAACAATACACTTCCCAGCGCTTTACCTTCTTCACATTACAACGCCTTACCCTCTCTCCGGCGTAGCTCCTCTGGCTGCTCCCCCTCCATCTGCTCTCTCTCCCTCCCTCCCTCTCCCTCCATCTCTCCCACATTTCTTCGGAAATCAGAGGGCTAATGTAAAGGAAGAAACAGAATATATTGTCACGTGATTTCGCGGTAGTTGCCTAGCAACGGGTCTATATGGCAGAACATTAATCTCGGAATATATCTTACGCAAAGCAAGGAGAATTTATGTCCGAAATTTAGACTTTAATCATATAAAGCGGCGTGGTAACTATATGTACCGTCTTCTTTAAGATTAAAATAAATTTTTCATTCTGCCCACACGGTGCATGTGTGTTCCTTATGATTCTCACAGGAAACAGCGATTATTTCCTTAAGCTGCATTGACCGGTTGATCATTGTTATGGAGAGGGAATGCTTTTCCTGTGAGGTACGGACTTTCCTATTTATAAGAACTGCAAGCTTCAAAAGGTTTAAATAATCGTCATGTTGTGAAGTGCTGCTGTGTGTGTAGTTGCTACTAAGGAATAGCTTCTCAATTCTCCGCGAGATATATATCTGAAGGATCGATTTATTGCCTTGACAGAAACCATGCTCCCGTGTATCCGACTGCAGCAGTTGAAAGTCTGTGCCCCAGACCTCAGTAACGTTTCAAACAAATATCAATGCTACCAACTTTACAACTGGACACTAATGAAAACTCTTGAGAGAAAATTAAATATACTAATTGTTATTTTATCTCAGAATATCAGTTAAATTAATATTTCAACCAGGTTGGTGGATCATATAACTTCATGATAATCTAATAGTGGCTTAGGTGGTTTAAAAAATCCTTCATTTATGAAACCTGATGTTAGTTACAATGTTCGCAAGAGCCCGCCACTTGTCTCTATTCTGAGCCAGTTAGATCTTTTCACTTCATGTTCTATTTCCTTAAGATTCTACAGCGCAGAATTCTTGAGAAGCTAATAGTCTCTTAGCTTGTCAACAAATTACCCATCTGCTGAGTAACTCAAAAGTTCATTACATCGTCACAGTAGCACGCCACTGGGCACTATCCTGAGCCAGTTGAATCCATTATACACCCCAACTCTTTTTTATTTAATATTTTTACTATATGCTTTCCGTCTACGTCTAGGTCTTCCAAGATGCTTCCTGTCAGGTTTTCCTATCAAAATTTTTCTCTCCCCGGCTTGTAGCGAAGTGCTTGAACCAACTACGCTACCGTGCGCCTCACACTAATTAAACACTTGCTAATTATAATTTCTGGCTCTGTTTGTTGCAGGATTCTCTCCGATAACGCCCTGGAGCGCATCCATCCAGAGGTTTTCGCCAACAACAAGAATCTGAAAAGACTGTGAGTATCGTTTTATCTCCCTGTACAATGAAATCATGATAGTGCTGCGTGACATTATGGTAACATAGTGCACTGGCAGAGAGCTGTACCCATTTGTTGCATATATTACTGATACTGCCAGTAGAGGGGTCTTTCAGCCGTAGTTTGTCGTTAGTTTTATGAAAACGGCTTATTTGTATTTTTTCAGTATTGGATATTGAGACTGACTGCGCGCGAAGCGTAGACCCTATTAAGGAATAGAAAATGAAAAGATGAAACTATCCCTGCAACAGGCCGAGGAGGCCCATTAGGTTGTGAGACGTCGAGGCTTCCACATTATCTAGACAATCGGCTCACACATGGCGGTGAGGTTATCAGCCTCACGCACCGACCGGCCGCCCTTTACGCCCCAGGAATATTCCTTGTACTCATTTCTGCTGGAGACTGAGTCGACCCTAGGACCATAGTGCGGCTGGAAGGATTAGGTCAATTAAAAAAAGGATCCAATGACCTCATCGGGAATATAACCCGCGACCTTCCGAATTAGAAATGTTGTACTTCATTTTTCGATTATTTGTCTTTTATTAACATCTTCCTTCAGAAGGCTGTTGTCTTCTGGAAAGTGACGCCGTATTGTTCTGTATTCACGAACGTTTCGGAGGAATTTTCTGTTACCATGTTCAGTGTCGAAAAGTAAGTAAAGCAGCTTGCTTAGTGAACAGCGTGTGTAGGAGCTGAAGTCCTTACAGCAATGAGAGCCAAGTCTTCTGGCATCTGCATAGACCGGAAAGTCACATTGTCATCTGGCCCACAGTTTCTTTACCCTTTCCACTATCGCCACAGGTGCGAAAATAGAACATAATTTGAATTGTTAATAGATGGACCGTGTACCCACGAGGGCGCTAACATCGCGATCCAATGGGTGGTGCGTGTGCTTCATAATCAGGTAACGGTTTGAAATCCCGACCCGAGAACCGAATATTTTGATTGAGGTCTGTCGCAGATTTCTTAAGTCCATCAAAAAAAACACTAGGATAGTACTGTGATTAGGCCACGACCCCTTCCCTCCACATCCTTTCAAAATTATTATTCTACATTTATCTTAATACTCGACGCTATATAAACTGGGACACTTCCAGAATTGTAAAGTGCGCGACAATAAAGGCACGGTATAGTCTAGTGCATGGTAACATAGCTCCATCATCATGTTTGAAATGTCACGTGTAGAGGTTGGTATTGGTGACTCGATTTATTGACATACAACTCGGAACTATAAGCAGGTACAGCGCCACCGCTAATCTCCACAATTCACAAATCACCACACCACCCTCTAAGCCTTTCCCAGCCTGCTATGTCTTCACAAGCCGTTCCCTGGCAACGGCTTCTAACAGCGGAAATGCTTCAGCTTCACGCGCCCAAGTCCTCCCGTACGGAACTCACTGTCTAGCTCCCAGGCTGGCGGCCATTTCGCACCAGCCTCCTAGTCTTCTGTCTTCACCGCCCGGGTGTCAACTGAGCAGTCACCTCTGACACCGACTTCTCTCGGTTACAACATCTCGGCACGGACCGCATAGAAACAATGTTCCCATTCTTATGTGCGTGTTTGTTGCCGCGGGAACTTGTTCACCGAGCAGTTGCCTAGCGATGCCCCGGGTAGTGGCTGTTACCAAGCAACGCATGTTCCTTCTCGCGATCGTTGCATAGCAACGGCTATACTATACTGTACGCTATAACATGAAAACGCAGACATATTTCTCCGTAACGCTGGTACGTGTTTGCCAAAGTACGCGATGTCATAACCCGAAAGACTGCAATGTGAAGGTTATGCACGCTGTTTGCTTCACGAACTCAACCTTCTGGAGAAAGTGAAGTGAAGTGAAGTGAAGTCAGCAGTAATGCAGTCTGCGTCTGTCTGTATGTGTGTGTATCATGGACTTCTCGTAAATGTGATGTCATAGCTTCACAGTTGGATGCCAGATGCTCTGGCGGTATGGTGCTAACCCTCTGCAGCACAATGGTAACTATACGTACCTTACTCATGGAGCTGAGTCCTTCTTGATCAGAAGCCAAATCTGCAGCTACTCAAGAATTTCCCAGCATTTTATGGAACCCGAAGGTTCATTACCGTCTTCACAAGAGCCCTCTACTGGTTCCTATCCTGAGCCAGCTCAGTCCAATCCATAACATCCCATCATCTCTCTCTAAGATCCATTCTAATATTGTCCACGCACCTAAGCCTTGGTCTTCCCAGTTGTCTCTTTCCTTCTGGCTTTCCCACCAATATCCTATATGCATTCATCTTCTCCCCCATTCGTGCTACATGCCCTAACTATACGTACCATCTGTTGTAATATTAACAGTATCTGCATTCTGCCCACACAGAGTATTTGTGCATCTCTAATGCTCGCAATAAACAGCGGTTATTTTCCATGAACAGTATTAACATGTTGGTCGTTGTAGCAGAGAAGCACTGTGTGTAAAAAGTAAGATGTCTATGTGCTTCAGATGTGACTAGTTTATTGTGAACACAAGTTTGTCTTACATGTTTCGGCCTGCCTTCGCCATTATCAGAAGTTTCATCAACATTAATTGGAAGCACTGTACACTTTCGCAATACATTAAGTCTATATAATAATCTTATATCTTAAAATTATATTCAAAGATAAGACGTTTTACTTAAGTAAAGTTAATTATATCGAGATTTATTGCTAGTGGTTTAATTAAGTTAAGATCCAGTTTATGAGAGTAGCATGTGTTTGTATCTGCAAACCTTTGAAGATGGCCAAGACAGGTCGAAACATATACGTTGTGGCGAAACTGGATGCGCAATTAAGATAGAGACCCGTTGTGTTTCCTGTGCGGTACGATTACAAAAAGAACTCCGTTGCCTGTAGTCCGCAAGCGAACCATACCGACCGAGCGACCGCCGCTTGTCAGCTAAGTTTAGTGTCAACTTTTTCGGATAGAGGGTGTCACGTGGTCAGCGCAACGAATCCCCACGGCCGTTAGTTTCGGTTTTCTAGACCGGTGCCGCTACTTTTTCATTCAAGGAGCTCCTAAATTATCCTCATGAGGCTGAGTGGACCCCATTTCAGACCCACTACTTCTCACAAAATCTGGTAGCGTCGGGAATCGGATTCAGGACCTCTGGATCTGTAGCCAGGAACGCTGACCACTAGACCACAGAGGCGGTCTTTTAAAAATATTGGTCAGAAGAAATTCTTACTGCAAGACGGGACCAAGGGTGAAAGAAAGTACAGACAGTAGACAATTTGCAGGTGTACATTCAGGCCTGTGTGACATCATGAAGCGACGGAAATGACACACATAACTGAATAACAATATTCGCATCTTCTGACTGGCAAAAGAAACTGGAGCAGGCTTTTCATGGGGGGGGGGGGACGGGGGTGGCGGGGGTGGGTA